TATGCAAGAATTGACATGAAGAAACCCCCGGTTTTACAACTTGTACAGCTGCCTGGAACAGAGTTTTATTTTTACCCCACTATTACCACTAGGGGGAACCATATATTACCCTCAGAAGACGAGATGTCGCGGGAGAACCTTGCTAATTTAATGTCCACCACAGTCACACATGAATATCAATTACATCTAGTGTAATGTACACACACTTATGTCAAATGTCACTTACTAGACACATTTAGAAGGTTTTACAAATGTTGTCTATCACTCCAAGTATAAGGAAGGTGAGGGAAAATGTATGTAGAACTCACATGTCTGATTTTCTTCCATTGACAGCTAAGGCAGCAGAAGCCCCGCCCTCTGAGGCCCGAAACAACTTGATGCATTCCCCATGATGCATTCAGGCTGAAGACTGAAGACTGAAGCTCAGCTGAGGAAAGGTAAGCTCAACCTCTTACAATTAGATGATTTAAATGACAGAAATGTCACATGAGTTGGAAAGTCTTTCAGGGTAAATGTTCTTTTTTTAGACTTATCCTATTATAAATTTGACTTCTGCAGAAGACAACTTCACACTGGTAACATGTATCTGATGAGTTCCCTCCAGGTCATTGCAGCTGGGAATGAGGATAGTAAAAATAAATATTAACTAATAGGAAGAAGACATTTTACTCTTAAATATTGTTTTTCAACATTCATAAGTTTCACTTTAAATGCCCTTCATTTTTTCTAAGAGCTCATTTTGGTGTTAATATTATTTGGTCCACTTTATAGCGTCCCACCTCGGATCTATTAGTTTAAGATTCCAGTTTTTTCCTGTACAGAAACCACACTTTTGGTTTGAGGGACTTCACTGTGACCTGGCGGTTTGTTATCTCAGAGGCTGAGGACTGTCTGATCTGTGGCTCACTGATAATGTTGTGCAGTTGATGACAGTGTGTCAGCCTCTGTCCATCTACTGACTGTACACACATTATGTCAAACTGTGAGTCAGTGGCACGTTGGAGGTCCTTCTGACTTCCCATTTATCCCTGGAATATTCCACTTGTAATCTCTTTCCCTTTGCAATGTTATGAAATGATTGCTAAGTCATACCTGTAACCCTACATTTCTTTAGGCCCCGGCAATGTGGCGTTCATGGTTTCTCGTGGCAGTGCTGACTGGGAGTGTATTCCCAGTGTCAGGGTTCAGTAATGGGAAGGTGACTGCTGCCTGTGGAAACATGATGCCTCGGCATGGTGATGGCCCTAGCCCTGCCCCCCCTCCATTCAGCATCACCGTGGATACAGCCTCATTCACCCCTGGGGACAACATCACAGGTAGACTGCAACACCTGAGCTTTACAGTGAATGCATCATCTCTCCTGTTAGCTGATATCTGCCCTTCCTCCTATTCTCCATCCACAGTGACTTTACAAGAGGCCTCCTCCACCCCCACGTACTTCAAGGGGTTTCTGATAGAAGCTCGGGATGCTGGGAAACCGAACTCCCCCACCGTGGGTTCCTTCCTCCTGACTGACCCACAGGAGTCCCAGCTGCTGCAGTGTGGACACACTCAGGTATTCAGGAGCTACTAACCTGTGGTATAGGAGCAATGTGCGACAAATAACATTTCAAAAAATTGTTTTATTCTTTATTTATTTGGGGTCACATTATAGTACAAGTACAGTTTTTCAAATCATATATTTTTAGAGACCCAAAAGTGACAAATGAAATACCATCAAAATTAGTCAAAGTAAAATAAAAACGAAAGAGTACACAGGGGTTGTTTGAAATTGCAAATGTCTACACATGTACATATGCATACATATCAACATACATATACACATACACACATACATGTGACCATACATACACATCTATACATATACACTCAATTGGTGTATAGAAACAGTCAAACAAGGGATGGTCGTCTTTGGGATATGTAAATTCTCCACTTTTTCCATATTTCTTCAAATGTGTTTTCCTGAAGCCTCATTGAGAAGGTGATTCTTTCCATAACATAGATTTCATGAATTTTGCCGTACTAGTTGTCAAGAGAAGGGATATCCGCTTAAAAATAACATTTCTAAATACAATTTTCTTCCCAAATTTCAAATTGCTACAAGTAGTGGGTCAGTCGAGGTCTACATGATTTTGCAGTTGGGCTTTTTCAATCTTTATTCCGGGCATATGGAAGAGGAATATGTTTGTAGGATGACAATAAGTGTCCCTAGAAAACATTTAACTTCTTCAAAAGTGCCCAAGGCCTTCACTTTCCCCCGACTATTGAATGTTGAATTGAATGATCCTTGATGTTTCACACCCGTAAAATTATTTGAAAGGCTGAGGAAAAGTATTTGTTGTCCTGTAATGCGACATGATGCTGGCCCAAACTCGTGGAGACATCTTTGCTAAAGCTCTCTCTAAAGAGTGAAATGCTGCTGGTGTTACCCTTAATTATGACTTACTTACTGTACTGGATGACAGCATGAGCTAAAGCAGCAGTTACCGAGCATCACCTCAGGATTAAAACCACATGTTTAATGATGTTGTTCTCTGAGTGTGTGACACTGAATCCCTGTCATTTGAAGGGATCTGGGGTGAGCCACAGGAGAGACTCAAGAAAGACTCGCATTCAGGCCGTGTGGGAACCTCCAAACAACCCTCCACAGAGAGTCCAGTTTCTGTGAGTGTGAACTACTCTTCAGTTCAAAACTATTGAGCACATGATTGCAATGGAAATGCTGACACAGACACTGTTATCAGACAATCTGTAACTCAATAAAAGACTTTGCAATTCTTGTAAAACAGGTGTTTGAAGATAAAGTTCATAGTTTATTGCTTATTGCTTTTCGACTATTTAAAAATAGTTAATAGGTTAGGGTTAGAGTCACCATTTTATAAGAAACACAACATTAAAATGCAAAAAAATATATTAATTCAATAGTCCTGGCAAAGTATGAGAACAACATAAATTCTAAAAATAACAATGCAATTAATATGTTAAAAAATAAAGGAAGTGTATTAGATAGAAATGATTATGGAGTTATAAGCCCAAACCTTTTTGAGTGTTGTTTTCTTCTCTCTTAACATTATAGCCTATGATACTATTACTAATACTTTTTGTTGAGGTGTTGTTGGTGTGTCGTTGCAGTGTGACGGTGCTGCGTGAGTATAAGGTGTTCTGGGTGAAGATGGAAGGTCCTGTGGTGTCTCTTCACGGAGCGACTGCTGCTCCATCCACTCCTGCTCCTCCTCCAACCAGCAGCCCCCCCCCTCTGTCTGAGCCGGTCAGTCATCATCACAAACACAATGATAATACCAGAGGTTTCAAATGTTATTTGTTCCAGTTTTTCAGTAATGATTATTCTAACTACACTACCATGTTGTTACCATCCTACCTTAAAGGTCACCTATTATGCAAAATCCACTTCTTCATGTCTCTTCTACATCAACATGTGTCCCCTCTTCTTCATGTCTCTTCTACATCAACATGTGTCCCCTCTTCTTCATGTCTCTTCTACATCAACATGTGTCCCCTCTTCTTCATGTCTCTTCTACATCAACATGTGTCCCCTCCTCTTCATGTCTCTTCTACATCAACATGTGTCCCCTCTTCTTCATGTCTCTTCTACATCAACATGTGTCCCCTCTTCTTCATGTCTCTTCTACATCAACATGTGTCCCCTCTTCTTCATGTCTCTTCTACATCAACATGTGTCCCCTCTTCTACATCAACATGTGTCCCCTCTTCTTCATGTCTCTTCTACATCAACATGTGTCCCCTCTTCTTCATGTCTCTTCTACATCAACATGTGTCCCCTCTTCTTCATGTCTCTTCTACATCAACATGTGTCCCCTCTTCTTCATGTCTCTTCTACATCAACATGTGTCCCCTCTTCTACATCAACATGTGTCCCCTCTTCTTCATGTCTCTTCTACATCAACATGTGTCCCCTCTTCTTCATGTCTCTTCTACATCAACATGTGTCCCCTCTTCTTCATGTCTCTTCTACATCAACATGTGTCCCCTCTTCTTCATGTCTCTTCTACATCAACATGTGTCCCCTCTTCTTCATGTCTCTTCTACATCAACATGTGTCCCCTCTTCTCCATGTCTCTTCTACATCAACATGTGTCCCCTCTTCTCCATGTCTCTTCTACATCAACATGTGTCCCCTCTTCTTCATGTCTCTTCTACATCAACATGTGTCCCCTCTGTGGAAAGAGACTCTGAAAGTTTCAGGAACAAAGATTCTCTCTCTTTTTGATCCATTTCTATAAAAACCTGTCTGAAAATGAGCTG